TCGCCGACTTCTGCACACACATCCGCAAGAGCGTGAACGAGAAGCCCTGGACGCTAGTCAGCTATGCGTGGTGTTTCTACATGGCTGTGTTTTCCGGGGGTCGCTGGATACGAAGCATGCTCTTGAAGGCACCTCCAGGTTTCTGGCCAGAACAAGACGTCGAAGAGCAGACTTTAGAAGAGCGCGGCTTGTCATTCTGGCATTTCCTCGGACCCCACGACGGCGAAGACATCAAGTCGGATTTCAAAACCCAACTCCTCGCTGCGGAGACCCTCTTCACACCCGACGAGCGCGTCGACATCATCGAGGAAGCGAAAAACATTTTCCGCCTCTGCGCGACACTCGTGGATGAGCTGGACGAGTCGATCGGCACAGATATGACGCGCATGGAAGCGACACCTCTGGTTCACCCCGAACCAAAGATACCCAGTCCGACCCGAAAAGAGCCTCTCGTTGATACAAATGTCGCTGTTATCGGACATGTGACAAAGACGGGTGATCCCTTCAAGACATTCCTCAGGCGGCCAGAGGTCACGGGTACCCTGGTCGCTATTGGTTGTCTGGCTGTGGTCACGTTGTTCAAGTTGCAGTGAGACAACAACACCATGCGCCTGGTGTCACGACTGGTTTTCTTCTTTTCCTTTTGCAAATACTCGGCGGGCACTTTTTTTTTTGGTTCACATGATTAGCGTTAATATCTGCACCTGGCATGATGCGGGTTTTGTTTGGGCACGAGCGACATAGCGGTATGGCGGTATAGTGTCACGACTGCCTATGTTTCTGCGTCTGGTTTTCATGGGCTATGGCATCATCAGGAGTTTTACTCGTCTTTAGCGGGCTAGGATTAGCCTGCCATTTAGTGGAGTTCTTCTCACATAGTCTTTTACGGATATCTATTTGAGGCTACGTGAGTAGTCGCTGCATGTATGGAGAAATGGCATGAGATACCCCCCTGCAGTAGTTTATAGATACGTATGATTTATGCTTCTTCTTGTTGGTTGTAATCTTGATGTTGTGTGCTTGCCTTGATGTGAAGAGCACGTGGTGCAACCAGTGACGATAGAGAGCTAGCGTATCCTGGATGCGTAGATGAGGGAGGAAGGTCATGGTGTTCGTCATAGTGTGGTGTTTGTACATGATGGTCACATTTGGCACAGTGGCACATGTTGCTAAGGGAAGACAGGTTGTTTTCTTTCTATGTAAGGAGATAAGAGAGATACATGGATGATGTTGCTTGTTGCTGTTGTGTGGGGAAAGGAGATGAAAGGATGCGTGAGCGTCGTTACATGTTTTTTTGGCTTTTCCAAGGATGGCGTTCGTGTGCTTGCCTCCTCTTCTTTCCAAATGTTTTTGGTAAGTTGTGGTATGCTAGAAAGGGAATGACCGAGATGGTCCTCTCCGATTTTATAGTGAGGAGCCAAGGTATATGCGTGGAATATGTGCGTTCGACCAGGGAGCGCGTACTTCTCATGCCCAAGACGTACTCAAGTCATTCCGGATACTCTTATCGAAAGAACCATCCGTGCCATGGGCTTTGCGTAGATGGATCCGGAGGTCCGCTGGACGAAAATAACCGTTTCCGTTGACGCGGTCACAGCCAGGCTGTGGGCAGGAAAATTCGGATTCGTCGTGCACAGTACGCAGGTGCTTGACCCATTCCTTTGACGAGGCGAAGGCACATGGGGCCCAAAAACTTTCCCTAGCAGGTCTTGACTCCGTACACCCTTCCTTTGGGCACCACTTGCGGTTGTATGAGGTTTCGAACTGTACGCCTTCGCCGATGTGATGATAGTTTCGAACGTGTTGAGTGAGGTGGTCTTTGCGTTTGAAGGCTCTCTTTCCTCGATACTTCTTGCAATACTTGCATGGGAAACGCTTAGCGTCCTCTCGATGGGTCCGCTGATGCCTCTGGTATGTGTCCAATCGGGCGAACTTCTTCTCACAGCCATCATGCTTGCAAGTGAACGAAGCATGGCCTGTGCTAGAAGCGTGCAATGCTATCTCGTACTGGCTCTTGCCCGCATACATGCATTCATCGCATGTACGAGCATCCTGATGCATAGCCCGCATGTGGTCACTGTAACTACGCAGGTCGATGTAGCGAAACTCGCAGCGATCGATGACACATCTCCGGCCGACCAAATGCGATTCCGACTGCTGTGGCGTGAATTGAGCAGACATAACATTGGTACTCTCGGTTACTGGATCAAGGTATCTCGCTCCAGTATCGACGAAACTATTTGAATAGCGTTAAAGTTGACTCTGCTGTGGGTTCGAATAATACTGACTTGTCATCGTGGCCTGTTTGAGAAGCGACCGTATTTTTCTGGCTCCTAGCGTAAGAGTCTGTGGCATTGGAGTCGGAGACGCCGTGGCCCTCAAACTGTCGGGTGAACGTTTGGTAATTGGACCAGTCCAAATGAGACTCGCTCAACATGCGGTCACTGGACGGCATGCCATTATAGCGATAATCCGGACTGAAATAACAAGTGTCGATCGATGAAGACCAAGGCAGTGAGAATGACTCGTGCGGTTGTGCACTTGCCAAGACGGGCGCAGAGTAACCCAATGCAGGTATGTAAGAGATGCGCCTGTGGCACGCCCTTTTTGTTAGTGAGTGTAAAAAAAAAAGCTCACCCAAAGTCTGGGAAATCGTCCATGATTGGCAAGGCAGACGGAGGCTGCAGCGTGCCTAACCGAAAGCGTCGAGGCGAAGCAAGCCACTTGTGTTGATGCGTTGGCGGTCGTAAAGCAGCGAAGGCTGAGGCGGTGGTGGTAGGCGAAGCGAAGAATTTTGGTGGGAGATGCAAGCAGGATCCATCGGTAATACATACTTGCAGCCAGCAAAGTCTCACGCTGCTTTAAGCCAGACAGCGAAAAGGGCGAGAGGTGCCAGGCTGTGTCTTGGCTGCATGCTCAGCTGAGAAGGAACGGTATGATTGGATGTTGTGCGCGAAAGGGCCATGGCCCTTTTTTGGTGAGCAATATGAGAGCTTGACCGTGCGCGTGTGAATCACCTAACTGCGTGCTGGTAGACACGAGATGTTTGCTGGAAATGTATACTGTATTCATCTATAGCTTGAGAAGCAGGGTAGGGCCGGGAGGTATTCGCGGTTAACTTCAGTGTCAGACGATTGTACGGAAGGTCATGTCGCCGTCGTTGGGGATACATGTGTATGTATACTTCGGGGTGTAGCTAGTCCTTTACAAAATAACGAGTCGCGTACTGATGAGATAGGATTGAATGTATGGAGAATCTGTCATCGCGTTCCGAGAATAGGTGTTCTTGTTTTTGTCGAGATAATGGACCCATAGCAGGTAGTCATTGTGGCCCACTATCCGGATTCGTGCTCGTTCAACTCCCCATACCATTCTTCTTGACGCATTTGTTCAGTTTCAACGCCATGAGGAAAAATACGTTTGGCGATGGGAGTACTCACGTCCTCGTCTGATTCGAGGAAAACCATGAACTTAGGATACGCTTCGAAGTTAGTTGCATTTCGCTTCTCTTCCCACGTAGTGAACGCCGTCCAATATAATTCCTCAACATCCTCTCGTAAGTCCTCCACCCCGTCTTTCCAGCAAGAAAGTGCATCATACGCGGTTTGCTCGAGCGTACGTAAGACTTGACCAACCCGGATCCCCTCAGCATCGCGAACTTTAGCAAGCAATCTAAGAACTGGTGCGCGTCGGCATGGTAGATAGATACCCACAGCTTTGCACGGCGGTTCTGTAAGAAACATAGAGCTGATTAACTCATCAAAAGCTGTCTGTGGAAGAGGTCTTTTGTAAACGCGCTGTTCGGAAGAACATGGACCTAGCATGATTTCGCATCTGCCAAGATGTAGCCGCACTCGCTCTGGAAATAGCTCCAGAAAGTACGGATTGAAGTTGAACTGGCTCAGATCAAGCCAACATGGACTACCAAACTGTGGCAGCATCCCTGGAAGACTGTACCTGATGTGTTCATAATAATTTCGGATTTTCTCGTAATACAGCTGAGGTATGTTGTGCGCTTGGGAGATTCTGGCAGGAAAGTATGGGCTGGGGGCTGGAATAGACGCAGTAGTAGCAGCGGGGCCCTGAGGTGTCATCCCTTGCCGTAGCGACAAGATCGCGTGCTCGATGTCGTTAACCTCCTGATCAGTGGGCTGTAGCCAGGAGAGTTCCCTGTCGATGCGTTGCCCATGGTTCACCCGAGGGCAAGGATGATGGCTGTGGTATCGAGACGCGAGAATGTAGCGAATTGTCTGACGCCAGGACACATCAACGTTCCAAGCTGCGTATTGTGAGTCTGTGGTTGCATACCGAAGTATCATCTCCAGTAATTCAGGAATGTCGAATACACGCCGAGCAGAGAAAGAGAAACTGCCTGGCTGGAGCTCACGAGCTGTGCCAGACGTTGGGGTGCGCATGTAAGTATGGTTGGAATACAGCTGCAAACGCGCATCGATCGTGTACAGCATCGTTCGCCTCCATTCTTCCACTCCAGGCATCAAAGATGGGTGCGGTTGCACTGGCCATGTCGTTTGATGATGTACTCCGTTGTGATCCAATTTAAGGGCCAGGAGATACAGGCTACCCAACCGAGGTTTTTTCGCGTGCAGTAAACTAAGATCTTGGTCCGGAAAGTGTTTTGCGATCAGTGAGTCGTACGGATGGTATTGCGCGCATTCTGGATCGGGGGTAGTGGAAGCCATGGCGATATGGCTTCGGCAGGGTGCTGCATGGAAGGCAGAGAGATGTGCCGACCTTTATACGCAGACATGGCATCGAGCTCAGTCACGGGAAGGTGATGCCTGGGGTGGTGTTTTGGTACTGTTGAGTCTAGTGCTGCCGATGTAGGCAGGCGCAGATCACGTGACGCGGCCCGTGCACCCGCTGCCTTGAGAAGTTGGAACACATAAATTCCATCATTTCCTGCACCTTTATAACTCCTCATTCAAAATTCACGAAGCCTATCCCGGGCCCCTAATTGCGGCAATATGACCACCCCAAATATGCCTATCGAGGGCGTACAGCAGAGGTATGACAACGACGACGATGGACTGCATCCCGATGACGTTCTAATCACGAAATGGTTTCCAGAATGTACAACTCTGGAATTGTTGGACCGACGCCCAGAAAGATGGGATATGCTCTCAGACGCCCGAGAAGCAGAGGCTGATATCAAGAACGGCACACATCGCGTCCCACCACAGGTACCCTGGCCAAAGCCGCCTCCCCGACCTCGATGCGAATTAGAGGTCGGTATTGAAGAATGGCGACGGCCGCGGTTGCGCATGATGGATCAACTCATCGCTCAATGGAAGGCAGCAAACAACAACCATCCTCGGTGCAACGGAACTCGAGCTACTTCTGTCACAAAGCAAAGCTCGCAGCCTAAACCCCATTGCCCGAGCAGAGCTCATCGCGCACTGCATATCGCCGAGATCTTAGAGATGATTGTTGACCTGCTAGATCCCGAGTCGATGCTCAGTGTTCGGTCAGTCTCCTCTACCCTGCGAGACACTGTGGCGGTTGTTCTCGGGTTACAATACCGCAAGAATTTCCCGTGCGATCCCATCTCATACCACGACCTGATGCCATCGGACCTCGACTGGATTCCACCGACTGAGACTGAGATTTCCGAACTGGATCTTGATATCCGCAATCGCTTAGTCCCCCGTACCACGCACGCAACTCGATTCCTCCCCACCGCTCGAATCGTGCAGGCTCAATGTCTTCCAGCCGCAACCTGGACAGCTACTCGAAATATGTGGAATTCCAGGTACTCCCGATACGTCGACTGGGTTCCTCAGCTATCACTGGATGCGGCAGACAACCGCTGGCTCGACCTCAGCCAAATCAAGATCAACCCATACCTGAGCCATTGCTTTGGTGACCGGGCTCAGGAAACAGACGGAATGTTTGAAATAAAGCTACGACCTGGCCCTGAGCTCATAACCCAATCTCCGTTCGCACGGCTGGAAGCCTTGAGTTCTCAGGTCCGGCCAATGCACGCAACACAGCCTCCCTGCAAAAGCCTCGCAATAGGTGTATGTATTTCAGATGTACGAGAGGAGCGTCCATGGATACGACGGCTAGCGCTTATCGAAGCAGAAGATGGTGTGCGCATTGGGCAGCTTGTTGATGCACTAGACGAATACGCGACCACAATCGTGGATTCTTGGCTTGAGGATGTTACAACACAGCGCGACAGCTTTGAAAATGAAAGCTGGGAAACTTACTCACTCTCGGGGCACCGTATACGACATAAGTGGATGAGCATGTGCGAGGTAGACCCGAAAATCGTGATTCTGCTCGACGGCCCAAAACCTGAATCTCATAGGCTTTGCCTGGCTGAGACTATATGGTGCATGAGGGTTGGTCCTGAAAGAGGCAATCGACAATTCAAGGAGTGGTGCGACGCGTTTGCGCAGTGGAGTGGAAAAGAGCCACACACTGGGACTTGAGCGTGCCATGTTTAAATTTAGTAGCCGTTTCGCAGGACATCGAATGCAGACTTCAGTAGCTAGACGGTGTTTGACAATATGTTCTCATCGAGGTTAATAGAACATTTTCACAGCCATGTGACGCTTACTGTACAATTTACACCAGCAAAGCCCTTTGCTCTGACTCGATACGAGCTCTAGGTAAGATCAAACCACATGGTTAAAACCGCATACAACGTCCGAAATGCAAGAACGTAAACCCACTCACACCGTCCCCTCTCTCTGCTCCCCCGACCCATGCTCCGGCGCAAAAGGATCAAAAGGAACAACAACCTCCTTCTTCCCAAACGCCTTCTTCAGCCCCACCTTCATCCTCTCCCATCTCGTCATCTCCTTCTTCTTCACCTCTTCAAACGTCATATAACTCTTATCTATCTCCTTCAGTCGCGCCGCCTCCTCTTTCTCAAACTGGTCGGCGCGCTCTCGAAGCCCATTGATGACGTTCTGGCGAAGACGGTGGTTGGAAAACACCATGTCATGTTCTGGATGCAGAACAAGGATCTCAGGAATCTTGGTAATGGGGAGACCAGAATCGGCGATGCGGTGGTAGAGGAATGATTCCAGGTCCTCAGGACACCATGAAGGTTGGGCTGGGATGCCGACGAACGTCGCACGAGTAGCGCGGATAATACCAAAGTCTGTTACTTCACCCGCTTCGTAATGTTTGAGCAGGTCGCAGATGAGCTGACCGCGCTGCAAAAGTCGCACTTCACGGTGTGTCCAGTCGCGCTTGTATTCGGTTAGATGAGGAGGAAGAAGCCAGCCCTCCTGCGAAAGCTTGTGAGCGTCGTAGAAGTTCTTGAGCTTGTTCCATGCGTTGGGGAAGAAGTAGCCTTTCCAAAACTTTTGGCCGTAGACTGCGGCTTCGACTAGGATGCGGAGAAAGTAGTACAGTTCGTGCTGGTTCTGACCGTTGGCGGGACGAGATGAGAAGGACGCAGTACTTCGACTGGCTTGCTGGGGAATGTCGAATATGGCTGCTGCGGTGGGGTTGCGACGGTGAGTGTGTTTGCTACTCGCAGCTTCGACGTAGTGTATGCCTTTGTCGAACTCTTCTTTGCTGACGGCGACAGTGGCAATGGACTTGGCCTGCGCTTTTGTGAGGATGCCTTCTTCCCCAAGGCCAGTCATGAAGATCTCGAAGTGCTCTGGTTTCAGTATGTGGCCACGCTCCTCGGGAAAGAGCTGCGCGACAATCATCTCGTGGTCTTCGCTGTTCATGAGTCGGCGTTCAACAAGCTCGGCGTTGTTGACTACAGCGTTGTAGCGTATGATCCAGTTACGCTCAACAGAACCTTTTGGCATCTGGCTAGCGCGCACGGGTACGCCATTGACATCGAAGGTAGCGTCGGGTATCTCACCATCGACGTGGCGAGCTTGAAGGTGAAAGTGGGCATTGATACGATCGATGATGTCGATGTTATTCGGACAGCCGTCTGCTGCGTAGAAAGCGAGATATCTGACAGCCTGACGCCTTCTTGCGGCTTCGATAGCCTGGTTTGCGGTTCTGAGATGGGTTTGGCGGTGGTTGAGCGCAGAAAGGCTGTTCGGCAGACGAGCTATGCCATGACTGTCTCTGGGTCCCACATTCTTGCCGACCGTATCCAAAGGCTTCACACGCTTACTTGTATTCGCCTGTGGTGTGATGGTAGCATGGCGCTGACTCAGCAGCTGTTCTGCTGCGCGCATGCCCTCTATGGCCGCCTTGAGTCTATCAGTACGAGCATCAGAACTGATGTTGGTGTCGTCGACGGTGGCGGGGTGGGAGGCCGTCCGAAGTACAGGGCTATCATCGCTATACTTTTCGTTGTTGGATCTGAGACCAGTTTCTGCGGGCGTCTCCATGGTAGGCCTGGCATTGTTGATCGAGAACTTCGCAAGTGGTGTGATATGTGTGACATCGATTCGACTTTCGTTGGGGACTGATATCGCGGAATGCGCGTCGCCAAGTGGAATCAACGGGCTTGTAGGTGGGGTGCTTGAAGGGACCATATGGGATGATCTAGTAGCCTCCGACTCGAATATTGTGTTGTTTGTCGTCGAAAGTGGTGATGGAGTGGGAGATGCATGCTTCTCGGAGGTTAGTACATCTCTCTCATGTTTTCCCCATAGTACTGACCTTTTTGTGCTTAGGCGACTGGAATCGGTAGAGTCTCTTGGGAGTAGAAGTAGGTGTAGCCGGCGCAGAAGGCAAAGGAGAGACATGGTCACGACGGCGATGATTGCCGAAGACCTTCTGGAAACCGGCGATAAGACGTGTAGATTCCTTACGCTTGTCGTCCAGATTTTGAGCAATGCTATTGCTGCTTATGCCAGCGCTGACACCGGCGTCGTTGCTCGTACTGTTTTTGGGCTCTGATTTGGCGCGGTCGCCATCGTGGCTGTGACGAAACGACTTCCCAGACAAGAAGCTTTTGAAACCGACCATGGTTAGTGTTGTCGAAATGTTGAACAGATGAACTTTCAAGTGATCGTCGCTATGACGGGGAGGCTGGGCCTAAAGGGTGTGTTGGTGCTGTTAGTCGAGTAGTAGCTGCCACTGTCAGTGCGGGCAATTTTGTTAAGTTCAGCTTCTAAACTCCAGTTGTAAACAACGCCAAGCATGCGTGATTTCAGGTCCACGGCGCCGGGCAAATGCGGGGTGTGGTAGCGAAAGTGAAAGTGAAAGCGCAATAACTTGAGAACTTAGGGTGCGTATGGCCGAGTACTGGCGCGTCAGCGAAGTGAAAAGTGCACCACCAAACAGCCACTGGAACGTGAACTGGTCAGCTTGAGATGATGGAATGTCTGCTAGAAAAGAAGCACTGACTTGCGAGACTTGCCCACGAATAGCTCCTGATGCACAGGATACTCGCAAGATGTACACTTCCCGACACTCGCCATCAGTCCAGTCCTTCATCCGGATAGAACATGTTGCCCCACTAGCTGTTGATCAAGCTGGAACCATATGGATTGGGACAAAGATATCCGAGCCGGTGACCCTGGCGAGAGTTCTCGGAAGAGGTTTTCATTAGTATTCCTGACGAAGGACAAAGAGAAGAGGACAACGCTGTTCAGGACAGACTCGTAACGAATGATAAAACGTATAAGTCGGCAGTTTAGAAAGACGCATGACGTAGAATGAGCAACTTGAACTCGTCTTCTGTGCAATTTATGATGGACTTAAGGATTGCATGGCACAGATGCTTGATGAACGCGAGAGGCGGATAAGGAAGCGACAAAACAAGATTACACTGAAATTCAGAACCACAACCCAGCATTGATACTCGATAGCACCAGTGCTTCTCTCAAATAGTATTAACATATATGAATACCCGTCGCTAACAGTCTTCGTACAGGGGAGTACAGAAGGCTCTGTAGGCAAGAGGAGGATGCAGGAAGAAGCCGGCAACGTATCCACAACGGGAGAATGACTGAGACACGTGAACAATGCAATGAACATGGATCTGCCCGAAACACTCGATGCACTGTTGGGGTAGTAAAAGTGTGATGTGCGAGAGCACGATGAAGCCTTCGGGGTAGGTTGTAGTGCAGGGTCCAGCGCGGAAGTCACGAACCCCGCCTGGCGCTAGGTAATGAACCCCACGCGAGTGGCTGGCCAAAAGTTCGTACCCCAAGGACAACGCCTGCGCAACGTCGAGAGCAGCGCCATGGCTTTACTCGAGCTGCTGGACCAATTGCCAGCTGGTTGGTTACCCGACTCAGCACGTACACTTGTAGCTAATCACACCGCAGAGTTACTCCTCATATGGCACGAGCATCGGCTCCCCATCCTACTGTCTGCACTAGTAGTAGCGACCATCGCGCGCCTTGTCATATACGCGCGCGACCGCGACCAGAGAGAGAAGCTCTCTGTATCACCCGCTCCTTCCTCGCCGAAGACCACCGTCGAGCTCAAACCCGAATGGCTGCCCGAATACACCACGACGCTCAACTCTGCCAAGCTCAATCTTGATAACCATGCCGAGGACAACACAAGGGCAGTGGCTGCCGTCGCCCAGACTAAGAAGGGCCCCAAAAGAGTAAAGGGCAGGAAGGTACCAAAGAAGGTCGTCGCAGCTCCTGCATTTGACCATAAGACGGATAGAATCCAGCCCTTGATATTCTTCCAATCGCTGTCTGGGACGACTGAACGTTACGCTACGCAGTTCGCGCAAGTCCTGACCGAATGGACCAGGTACGTTTTGGGCATGCAAGACATATTTAAGGCGTCGACTAACCTCCTGCTTCACGTTGCAGAGGATGCGACCAATCCAAGTCCTTCCTACAACCCCAGACGCTCGATATATCCTATATTGAACACGACGACTACTTCATTACCCCACCGAAAACCGACGCGAACATCAAGCACTTCTATATCATCCTCGTACCCACGTACAACATTGACACTGTCTTGGACGTCTTTGTAGAGAGCTTGCAGGAGACGCACAACGACTTCAGGATCGATACGGCGCCATTGAGCGCTTTGCTAGGATACGCCGTGTTTGGTTTCGGCGATAGAGAAGGATGGCCGACTGAAGAAGAGGGCTTCTGCAGCCAATCGAGAGAGGTAGACAAGTGGATGGCCAGGCTGACTGGTAGGAAGAGAGCATA